GTTTGAAAACAAAATAAAATGACTTTAATTTGTCATCCAGATTACGTTCTCATCTAGTTATTAAATGATAATTTTTAAATCTATCAGGGTTAACTACCAAACTGTGTTAATAACGTTAATATTTACCTCATTAAAACAAAATTAAAAATAAATTTCAAACAATTTAACAAATAAAAAAATAAATAAATAAAACTATTATTTAAAATTCAATAAATTATTGCACAGACTTAATGGTCAAATCAATTGAAACACAGAAAACATGTCCCGACGGAGTGTTAGTCAACGTAAACCTCGAGTCCGGGCTTACCCTCAGTTCGCCCTAAACCCGGCGCTGCGGTCCGCGTACGGCAACGACCAGAAGTTACCCGTACTCCGGGGGGCCGGCGGTCGACCAATCGCTCCGTTCGGCACTCACCGGGACTACAATTGGGACAAAATTCGTAGCGTTCAGCCCAAATACCTGCACCGGACTAAGCGACCCATACAGGGGGCGCCCAATTGGCCGGACATATGGCAAGACTACACACAGATAGGCACCGGGTATCAAACACAACTGGCGCCCCAATACTCGGCACCGGTGGTATCGCCGGTGTTGGGCACAATCACATTTATGGAGAGATTGGGCGAGGGTAGTTTTGCCGAGGTGAGGCGTGTGGAGGCCCGCACTAACCCACATGACCCGCACGAAGAGCCCCGTGAGTACGCGTGCAAAATACTAAACCTACAGCCGGGCCGCGACCTGAGCCGAGCGGTGGCCGCCATGTTTGCTGACATCAGAGCAGTGGCGGGCCTTCAGCACCCGGGCCTCTGTCGCATAGACGACGTGGTCGAGTGCGCCGATCCCGACACCCGATTCCCGTTCATACGAGTGCTCATATTCATGGAGTTGTGTCCGGCGACCATGAGGTTCATTATGGACAGTCAGACCGAGGGTATGCCGGAGGGGGACTTTTGCAATTTGATGCGGGGCGCGATGACGGGTCTGCACTATCTGCACGCCAATCGTGTGGCGCATCTCGACATTAAACCCAACAATGTCCTACTGTCCGACACGGGTACCAAACTGGCCGACTTCGGTCTGTCCATCCGCTATGCGGACAATCGGCCGATGGTGTTGGACAAGGCGTACAATGTGGGCACTCGCAACTACATGGCACCCGAGTTTGGCAACGGTGTCCGCGATTTCGAGGCCACGCCCTGCGATGTGTACGCCTCGGGCCGTATGTTTGCCGAGGCTTTGGTAGGTGTGCAAAATTTTCACCATCTTCTCCATCAGCCGCAGGGTATCGGCGGCTATTTGTCTAGAGTGGCGGCCAATCAGTTCCCACCAAACCTGCCCATTGATTTGGCGCAACCCATTTCGTCCCCAATGGCCCGCTTTGTGTTGGACATGACGGCCGACAATCCCGGCCAACGACCCGATATTAATGCAATTCTTCAGAACCCATTGATGAGACAATAGGGCCTGGGGGTAATGAACTCTTTGACCCAGGTAGATTTTGTTTTGAAATAAATAGGCTATATGTTTTGTGAGTATTTTGTTTGCAAATTATTTTAAAGCATATATTGTGGGCCTAATTGTACGCCACTTTACTAGTGTTATGGTTTTAGTGGCGTTTTAAACATTAGGTTTGTATTGACTCTTGAATTTGCATATTATTATGTATTTTTGTTATTGTTGTTAACAATTAACTGATTTATGATAGCATTTATTTATCACGTGATTATCAGTTTTGATTGTTTGTATTTGAAACTTAATTCATTGCAGTGTTAAGACATAGAAAGCAATTATTATCTGTTAATTATGTCAGGCATTGATTCAAAAGTGGTGAAAGCGGGCGGAGATGTTGTCGATTGGGTGCGCGAACACGCGGTCACTCTACTCGTCGGCCTCTCGTTGGGAGCACTCGTGGCCTCAAGTTTTCTCAAAATGTCTAAACATTAGTACACTATATGTATATCACATGAAAGACTGTATTTTCAACGTTTGTCTCCTAATATATGACAACTAAATTCAATTTCGACACAATCTTTATATTTTGTTCACAAAATCATTATTTATTAAAATCTGATTCAAAATTATATGTAAAATAAAAATGTAATTTCAATACAAACACACAAATTATATTTGATTTATGTTTCAAAAAGATATTTAATTTAATGAATTTATTAAAATTAAAACATTTATTTAAAATTGTAATCATTTACATATAACTTACGGACAGACAATTGTCTTATAGCCGGTCTCAAAGAACTTGATCTCATCGGCGGTCAACCACTCCTTAATCCTATAATATTGACAATAAGAGGTCCAAAGTGTGCCGTTTTGAAGGGTTCCGGTGATGAAAGCTTAATTAACTTCAATTTTATTTAACAATCGGTACTTAAATTAATGAATCAAATTTTACTTTATTGCCATATTTATAAACTATTAATACCGCAATAAAGTAAACATTTCAATCATTCATTTAAGTGCCGATTGTTAAATAAATTATAGCACAGCATATCAATCACATAAAATTCAGTTGAATTCACCTTAAGGTTTGTTAATTATATCTATTTAACACCAACATTACATTAAAGCACAATAGAATTCTTCATAGAATTGTTATATAATGATACATAAATATTTGTTGATGGGAAATGTTTATTTCTTTAATTTAAACCAATATAAATTTTATTTTTGATAAAATTAATGATCATTATGTTTATAAATTATAATTATGACATAACACTCAACCATAATAAATGTGTTCATTAAAAATAAACCAAATTAATGCGTTGTCAATACTAAATTAAATACAACTACAAAGTATGTATTAAGTTATAAACTCCAGAATTTAAGTATAAATGAACCATGCTCAAATATTATTAATAATGCCTCCGTCCACATAGAGATTAGTGCCTGTAATGAACGCGGCATCGGTTGAGGCCAAAAACACGGCTGCTTTGGCCACATCGGCCACACGACCCACCCGTTTGAGCAAGGCCTTTTCTGTGCCCATTTTAATCACCGACTCTGGCATTAACTTTACCAACGCCTCCGTCATTATAAAGCCAGGGCTTTAAATAAATATTAAAATTCATTAAAATCAAAATTCAATGCACAATAAATTGAATGCTATACCTAATGGCGTTCACACGGATTCTGGGGCCCAACTCGACGGCCAGGGCTCGGGTGGCGAAGTCTAGCGTGGCTTTGGAGGCGCCGTACGGCAGGGGAGTCAACGCCGGCAACTGCGAGGCTATACTCGACGTACCGATGATTGTGCCGTTTGTCAGCTCCAGGTATGGGACGGCCAGTTGGATGAGTTTGAGACCAGACCTGACGTTGGCGTTGAATGTATAGTCGTAGACATCGAGGAATTTGTCATCTCTGATGGTGGTGAAGACGCCGGCGCCCACATTGTTAATCAGCACATCCAGTTGGCCAAACTTCTCGATCGTTTTGTTCATCAGCCGTTCCGTGTCCTCCGTTTTGGTGATGTCCGCCACCACTACTAACGGCTGTTAAGATCATAAGTTTTTATAACTACTTATTAAGTAATTTATATATTTTACAAATAAAATTACTTTCAGTCAAAACAATACATACTTTTTGTTTATTAGGCGATAGTTGTTGGATATCATTAGCCACTCTCTGGGCTTCGTTGGCGCGCCGACCGGTGACCACAACACTGGCCCCTAATATGGCAAACAGTTTGGCAATACCTTCGCCGATGCCGGACGTGGATCCGGTCACCAAAACTACTTTACCGGTAAAATTACGGGAATTTTTCACCGCATAATACTCGTCACCGTTTGGCTCGTACTTTGTTATTGCGTTCACTATTAATATAACGCTATAAATAGTAACAATAGCTGTGATAAGTCTATACATGTTTTTTACTATGTTTACTATGAGAAATATAGTTATTTTATTAAAAACTATGTATTTTAGCTCGTGAAACTGGACGTTTAACACTACCTGTCCACATTATTTATACCCAATTTATTGCGTAACCATTATGCACTCAATTGCACTAAAGTTTAGTAACTAAACATTGCCCTTGCAAATAACACTAATACTTGCTTTGTTCAAAAAAGTCCAATATGAGTGCAAATGTCCATGCATAATTTCATTAGCTGAATATACCTGAATGTACATTTAAAGTACATCTTAAGTGCTAACCAAGTGCTAAAGAATTATAACACTATAACCTATGTATATTTTAAAATTTTTTATTACATTTCAATGTAATACAAGATTTTTGAAATGAAGGGAAGAGTTTTAATACCTGTTAAACAGCTTTAATAGCCACTTATGTGTTTACATGTGTGACTAAATATTTGTTAGTTTGTGTTATACAGTATTTACGACTATTATTAGCTGTAATAAAAATCAGAAACAATTTAATTTAATAGCATTAACGACTCGATTGTATTATTAAATAGCTATTTGTCTGCGGTTTTGCTGATGTCCGCCACCACTACTACACTATACATGTATACTATGGATGTGTGGAGACAATAATTTTTTATATAGAATGAGTGGGGTTTGCTTTTAATTATTTTTTTACTAATTAAAACTTATAAAAGTTGGTAAAAATTAATTTAAAACTCTACATACAAATAAAAGCTGAAATGTATATGGTAAAACAAAAAAAAAGTAAAAAAAAAGTGCAAAAAAGTCTACGACACCGGGTATTCCCAGGTGGTCTCCCTCCCAAGTACTAACCCGGCTCGACGCTGCTTAACGGGAGGTGTGAGAACGAGAACCGGTGCTTTCAGCGTGATATGGCCGTAGACATCAACCAATACACTCGTACTGCTATGCATTAGTATAATATAGCAATTGTACGCATGCGCATATCTCATATTATACTAATGCATAGCAGTACGAGTGTATGGGTTGATGTCTACGGCCATATCACGCTGAAAGCACCGGTTCTCGTTCGATCACCTCCCGTTAAGCAGCGTCGAGCCGGGTTAGTACTTGGGAGGGAGACCACCTGGGAATACCCGGTGTCGTAGACTTTTTTTGCACTTTTTTTTTACTTTTTTTTAAGTTAGTTTACTGAATTTCATAGAAATTATTTTTACCATTTAATTTTTATTAAAATATTATAAAATATAATGCTGACAATAAATCATTTTAAAAAGTTAATGTTTAGAAAGTCTAGGTTATATAAAGATAGGCATAAACAACAAGAAAATGCGTTTTGGATGCATTTGAACAGAAAAAAAAGTAATTTTAATTACTAATCAGTGATTACTTTATGTGAAACACAGCTTTTAAATGCAATAAACACTATACACACGATTAGAAAACTGGCCAAAACTCGGCGGTCGCTGGCCATTGGCCACTGATAATACATGGTATGAATTTACTGGATCAGACCAGACCAAGATAATGTCTAAATTACAATGTCACATGAAATACTTCCCGATTTAGTAATGTTAATAGTGATTAGAAATTTTGAAATTGTGTGTGTCAATTCTTATGCAGACATTCTGAGTTTAGGCAATATATTAACAATAGGCAATAAGTTAGTATAATATTTGTACGAATAATGCATTGCAAATAAGCTAAATGATATTATAAACTATTTACATTTGTGTGCTCTGTATTAATAACTATTATAAATAAGCAATATAATTTGGTATTTAACTAATTAAGATTGCTTATGATTAAATTGGAAATGTGTTCTTTGCACTACTTGTAGCACTTGTATAGTTATAACTAGCGAGTAATCAGAATGAGAAGGATATTTGTTATTTTATAATTTGCTATATATAACTTTAAAGTATAAATCTATATTTTTGTGTAAATTTAAATATTAAATCAATTTTATTTAAATAATCATGTTAATAAAACCTATTTCTGGTTAAATACTTCAAACACAGAATATGAAATGTTTGAATCCAAACCAAACGGCACCTAGATGATTCATAAACTTATTCAGCGTTTAATTATTATTAACATTTTGAGTTAGGGTAATATCAAATACTAAACAAAATGAAATGTTGTTGAAACAAAATAATTTATAAATGAATAAAATGAATCATCTAGGTGCCATTTGGTTTGGATTCAAACAAATAGATTCTAGGTATATTTCGAGTGCACCCGACTATCCCTATCAATAGCTATCTGTTAGTTTGTTTTGAGTGCACAAATTGATAGAAATGAGAGCACACTTGGTTATTTATCTATGATAGTTTTATCGTTTAAATTAGACAAAATAACATAGAGTACTTCATTCACTTACCATTGTTTCAATACTACGTGTAATTTAAATTTAATTCATAATTTATAAACTAGTAAACAAAAATTAACCCGTAGAATATTTACATATTTGTATTGATATGTATAGTATAATAACTATAAAATATGCATTGCATAGTTCATCACAGTAGAATTTAGTATACAAAAAAGTTACTTTTAACTAAAACTAATGATGGTTTAAACTTTAAATAAAAATACAACGATGCAATGCTAATAGCATTATGAGTTATAATTTATAACTCTTAAGTACCGTAAGTACAATAGGAATGATAATAAATAAGTTATACCTACAGAATATTTCGAACAGATTATACATTAAAATCTATGAGAGTGCAAAACAATTACAATTATTTTTACATTATATTATAATATTCTGTTAAGTTAAAAAATTAGATTTTATTATTTTTGGAGACATTATTATTATTACACATTATTCAATAACTAACCAAAGTACGATATTTAATTATACATTACGTCATTTAGTTCTGTTATATCTATATTATACACCTTATCATAATAATATTATTAATGTGTATTTATATTAGGGTTAATTAATATTGTACTTTATTATCTATTTGAAATTGAATTATTGACATATTTTATCATGCTGGCTATTATGCGGGTTCAGAGAATTATTGTTAATTAAAAAACGAGCTAATATTAATAAAACCAATATTATAATTTAGTTTATTTAGAATGCTATCTTTAAGTATTTCTAGAATAATATATATTTATTATTTTACCATAATTTCTTTTTAATAAGAATTGCTTTTAATGAAAACATTATGCATGTATACTAAATAATAAAGTGTTTATATAATGTAAACTAACCCACCACTAATGTAAAAATATATATGTAACAATAAATCTTAAATTGTACTAAACAACATAACATAATGATAATAAATATTTTTATTACAGGTAATTAATATTGTACGATGTGTACTGAAGCTACAACTGAATTAGAAAAGATATAACACATATTTAACAAAAAGGATTTAAATTAGCAAGATTATTTTATAATACAAAATCATGTATCAGTTATTATTAAAATTAATATATGTACTGATAAAAATAACACCGGTATAATGCTATTATACTGATAAAATCAATTAATTATAAATGTTTTGTATTTTAATTATCAAGTAATCCAGAATTACAATTCCTATTAATAAGTAATCTAGTTAACATATTATCATTAATAAATTATTAAGATATTTAACTATATTTAATAAGATTAACATTTTGTTCACTAAAAATCAAGTTTAATTATTAAAATATATAATAAACTTGCACCAAGGGTACAAACATAATTAGAAGCAATAAAATATATTTTATAATGTATTTTATTATAAGTGGGATCAGAGAAAATTAGAATCATATAATTCCCACAAAAAACGTATACATTATATACATATTGATTGTGTAAATAACCCTTGGTCTGTACTGTAATCAATTTGGCCGATAAATGTTAAAAATTTGGGCCATCAAGAAAATGGCAAGATTTTTATAAATAATATTCTACCTACTATAAATAACAACAGGTTTGAATAACAATTGATTTAACAAATACACTCAAACAATCTACAATGTTCCGTAGGGGAAACCCCAATAACTTTTGACTGAGTAATTCGACTTTAATGATTCCAATTTGAAAAATGTTGCCTGGTAATTCAGTAATCGAGCCATATATAATATGCCATCGTATCTATAATGCTTAATTTTCTAGGTAAATTATAAAAAGAAATAATTTCCATTGAAAATGAATGACATTTTTGTACAATTATTGACTGTTTCTAACTATACTTTTTTCAATTATCTAGAACCTAGATTTAATTTTTAAAATGTAACTAATTGAAGTTTTAGTCATACATTTGATTGCTACTTTGGTTATTTCACAATTCATTTTAAACTACCTGTATTTTGTGGAACAGGGGATTTCTATAACTCATAACAACTGGGTCAATTTTAAAATTCTATATGTCAAAATGTTTAAAATTCTATATGTCAAATGAATGGACACGTATTTCAGGATTTTCCTAAAAAAAATATCTGGATTAAAGAACAGATGTTTAAAGTGCATAAAATTCTACATTTCATTTGCTTGCCAATTAAAATTTATCTGGTCATTTTTAACGTTCTCTAGCTTAAATTGACAAGAATTATGAATAGAAATAAGCAATTTCTTAGATTCTCAATATTTTATAGTTTTGATGAATTTTTCATTAAACCAAAATTTTCATTAAACCACACACATAGTGTTTATAGCATTGAAAAAAGGTGTTTCACACAAATCTTGAGTAATCACCAAAATCCAATGCAATAAACACTATGTGTGTGATCACAAAACTGGCCATAACTCTGCAGCCACTGGCCATTGGCGATTTTGATCACGGTTTATAAATCATCTGGATCTACTGGATCAGACCATATCAAGATAATGGCCAGGCGGGATTTCCGCATAAGAATAATCCCGATTCAGTTAAAAGTTATTGGGGTTCCCCTACGGAACATTGTAGATTAAGTGTATTTGTTAAATCTATTGTTATTCAGACTTGTTGTTATTTATAGTATATAGAATATTATTTATAAAAAATCTTGCAATTTTCTTGATGGCCTAAATTTTTAACATTTATCGGCCAAATTGACCACAGTACAGACCAAGGGTTATTTACACAATCAATATGTATATAATGTATACGTTTTTTGTGG